TGGAGGAACTGTGTGCGTAACTGGGACGCTAGCAATTAGCACGCCAAGGGCTCCATTATGGCCTATGCAAATGCAGAGATTAAAATGCAGTCACAGCGTACAAACTATTCAGCTCTTAGCCAATTCATCACCTGCGAAGGGCACACACTCGAGGAGAGAAGAAAAGAGGGCAAACAATAGCAAAACTAGTCTGTTTTCTGAGGACATAGTCATTTATGGCCACTTTTAGCTCAAAACATTTTTTTTTTTTGGCAATTTATGGCTGATTTTGTCCCCAAAACATTTTGAAGTAGCTTGCAGCAGGCATGGATGTTATGTTTTCACTTTGTTAAAAACATTAATAAAAAAAAAAATCATAAATAAAGAAATAAAAAATCATTAAAACACTTAAAAATCGTTATGTTCACAAATGTTTGACAAGTATACTATCGGTTGACTACAAGTCAAAAATACGGAATGATTAACACATACCAGGCGGCATTCATTAGAATAAACACAGTTAAACGTTTTTTTTTTTTTTGTTTGTTTTTTTACAATAACTGTTTTCTATTGTAGTGTATTTTAAAATGTAATTTATTCCTGTGATGGACAGCTGAATTATAAGCATCATTACTCCAGTCTCCAGTGTCACATGACCATTCTAATATGCTGATTCACTGCTCAGGAAACATTTATTATCTTATTATTCTTATTAAAATCAATGTTGAAAACAGTTGTGCTGCTTAATATTTATGAAGAAACCATGATATATTACCATTTAAATTTTTGGGGGGTGGGGGGATGTTTTTAGTAGAAATAAATGCTTTTATTCAGCAAATACGCATTAAATTGATCAGACGTGACAGTAAAACAATTGTTACAAAACATTCTATTTCAAATAAATGCTGTTCTTTCAAGCTTTCTTTTCATGAAAGAAACTTAAAAAAAGTTTACGCAAAATTTGAAGCAGCAAAAACTAGGGATGGGTACCGAAACTCTCCGCACAAGAGACGCTGTTCCTCAGGCTGAAATGTGTGCACGCAGCACGCTCCAAAACGGACAAACAGAGCTTCGGGCGCATGTCCAAACGATCAAATACACACAAGCAGTATCGTTAAGAGTAGTAATACCGTTAAAACCTTAACGATACCCATCCCTAGCAAAAACTGTTTTAACATAGATAATAGTAAGAACCATCATTATTAATAATATTTGAGCAGCAAGTCAGCATATTACAATGATTTCTGAAGGATCATATGACGCTGAGGACAGCTTTGCCATCACAGGAATAAATAAAAATGTAAAATATATTCAAATAAATTGAAGTTATTTCAAATCATAATAATATTTTAATATTTAGTTTTTTTGTATACTTCTGATCAAATAAATTCAGCCTTGGTGAGCACAAGAGACTTCATTAAAATGATTTCCAAAGTTTCCAAACTTTTGAAAAGTACTTTATACATATATGATTTTATATCATTTACATTTTACAACTTGGAAAAAAAAAATCTTCTGGCTCAAATGGTAGAGCATGAGGCCAGCAGTGCTAAAGTCATGGGTTCGATTCCCAGAAAAAGCATGACCTCAGATCAGATATCAGATCAATACAATGTTTATTTATCAAAACAGTCAAATACGATGTTTAATTATTTGTGCACCCCCTAATTAATATTCATAAGCTAAGCCTTTGGCAAATTTGTGATCCCTCCCACAGCTGTCCTAATCACTTTTTTGTATCTGAGGAGAGAGCAAGAATCTTTTCTCAGGCCTGTATTTGCTGCACCAGGGGTTTCTATTTAGAGTTTAAACAAGCAATTAGCGTGCACCTTACCTCAGGAAATTAAAAAAGTTAGGAGAAACTTTCCTCAGTGCCTTTCCCTCTATAGTCACCTCGAAACTCTTGTTTTTTTTTTCTCTCGACAATGGATGTGAGCTTGTCTGTGGGCGTCTGTGAGCCCTTTTTTTCTTCTACAGGAGCATTTAATGCCCCTAATGCAAGGTTAGGTGTCACTGGAGATGAAGCAGGCACGATTTCTCTGCTCCTCTATAAACAGCATAGCATAGTATCATTAAAAATGTTCAGCTTTCATTTACTTATTTATATTTGCCTGCCGCCCATGTGGCTTCAAACCCCGATCCATGCTTAGCAGCGGGACGACATGGCGTACTCGGCTTCGGCAGGTCCCGGGACGGCATCTGACACGCTAAACGAGGCGCTCGCACGCTTGGCGCCCCCTCTACGAGAGCGCACTTCAAAGTGTGTTTTGTAGTGCAACTGTCAACATGGGGGAGCGGAGCGAGGGTGGAGCAGCCTTTGAGCAGCGTAAGGTCTTTACCCATCGTCTCCACGGATGTTCTCTTTGTGCTCGGCACTTGCTCCAAATTGCTATCTCACCGTAGTCACTTTTAACCCCCCTTATTCAATCTACTAAAGTTCTTCTCTTTGTATTGTTCCCTTTTTTTACTTTCTCCGGGTGCTTCTTTGACTCTAACTAGTGCGCTGTGTTATCTTGGGTGGGACAGCTCTCTGTCATTAAAGCTGCAGTGCTTGTTGCACCATACAGGGTGGCATAACTGTCAGCAGTTAAGAGTAATAGAGCCTCTGACGTGCCACACACTCGCTATTGCGCTACTTTTGATTGAGCCTTTATTGTTGTTTGCCTTCATTTCTTTTCTTCCATTAGATTCTAATATCGATCTTCATCGCCTCACCTTGACACGTAAACTTTTGTTTACACGCAGTTCAAGGGAGTCTTCTGAAGTCAGGCGCGACCCTGATTTGTTTAAAGTGAATATGAAAATAATGACCCCGTTAGGCTGCAATTTAAAGCGCGCTTTGAAGATGACGAATGCCAGGCCGCTCTGAAATCCTCCAGAAATGCTCTAGCTTTAGCTATGGCCACTATTGTCAACGTTGTTAGTATTTATTAGGTCTGCCAGTTTTAAATTGACTACATTTGTATTTATTATTATTACAGTTTTTTAATCAAATGAATTCAATTATATGATGAATAATTAATTAGAATTATCATATATCAATGTTTTTAGATTTTGCAAATGTGCTACATTTACACTCTCGTTAAGGAGCAGGATTAATTGTTATTGTAATTTGTTTTTTACACTGCAGACAATTTTAGTTTGAAATGAATTATTGACCCAGAACTTTAAAAAATGTAGAAGCACAACTAACATAAAGATGCTCCTCTGCTAGTAACTAACAATGTTTTATATCAACCACAGATGTCAATAGAGAGCCTAGAATTCTGTACTATACCTTTAAATTATTTTTTATTTACATTTTTATACAAAATTAAAATGTACACTACCTTGCTGAAATTATTAATTTTATTCAGCAAAAATGCAAACTTTCTAATTATCAAAATCCTGGAAAAAAATTAAGCAGCACAACTATTTTCAACTGATTTTATGAAGAATAATAAGATGATAATGTTTCTTGATACACACACACACACACACACACACATGTATGTATGTATATATAAATTTTGGCCCTGAATTGGCCCTTAAAGTGCTACGAACAGTTAATTTAAATTGTAATAATATTTCACAATATTACTGAGTTACTGTATGTTTCATCAAATAAATGCAGCCTTGACTTCTTTACAATAAAAAAAAGTATTAAAAAAATAATAATACCCCCCATACACACACAAAAGTAAGGACATTACAAAAACAAAACAAAAACCAAAACTTTTGGTCAGTTGATTTAATGCTTTCTATCAATTTTCCATGCATCTATTTAAACCTTTGTGTCTTGATGAAAAGATGCATGCAAAACTACAAAGCAGACCAACTCGGTTTGGATAAATGTATTTTTCATCCTTACTACTTCAAAACCACATCAAAACCACATCTGGTGTGAGCTGAATGTGGCACAGACAAACCCAGTCTCACACCTACAAGATGGATGGCTGAGAGATGGACACACTTCTCAGTGTAGGTGACTGATGTTTCTGTTGAGTTGGCAGTACATGGACCACATTTCTTAGGGAGTCTGAGTATGACGTCAGTCAGTTTGAGGGCCAGATCTGAGGGAAAACCAGTGATCTGTCTGTTTCACTCAGAGGCGCTTGACTGTTGCTGTCTTATTGGTCTGAAAGTGAATACTAGTATGGTGACAACCCTGTGAATTTTAAGCTGGCATACCTCCCCTTTCTGCTCCGTTCCAAAACCTAGTGAGCTGCCTCGTTACCTAGATAGGTAGCTGCCTTTTAAGACATCCCAACTGGAATGGAACCTTATAAGTGAGTTTTTTGGAACAATGTACATAGGTTGCAACATAGTGTTGTGCAAATGGTGCACTTTGTGGTCAATTGATTCAATACAAGCAATGTGAGATCAACAACTATATACTGTAATATGCATACACATAGCACTCACATTTTGGTTTACATAGAACGTTATAGTTATTAATAAACGTTTTTATCATACTGCTTTCTACACTTTTGAATATTCAGAAGTTTGGGGTTGGTAAATGTTTTTAAAAGATGACCAAGGCTCAATTTATTTAATTAATTATACAGTAATATTGTAAAATATTATTACAATATAAAATAGGTGTTTTCTAATATATTTTCAATTGTATTTTTTCCCGTGATTTCAGCAGCCATTTCTCCAGTGTTGCATGATCCTTCAGAAATCACTCTAATATGCTGATTTTATGCTCAAGAAACATTTCTTATTATTATCAATGATGTTGAAAACAATTTTATAGCTTAAACTTATTTTGTTGAAATTGTGTGAATTTTTGTGGAAAGTTCAAAAGAACAGCATTTATTTGAAGTAGAATTTATTTGCATCATTAATGTTTGAAAACATTAAAAGTGTTTGAAATTGAAATGGTCTCAATTATGGCCAATATAGTGTGCCTCTCAGTCATATGTGGCTGTTAACTTGAGCCTTTAGTGTGACAGCACAGCTCTGCTCTGCTGTGTTTGACCGAGGCCGCTATCAATCCGCCCACCTGACCACGTGTGTGTGCTTGTGTGTTTTAACAGGTGCAGTACCGAGAGCTGAAAGTGGAGCCCAGTCACAGCCCAAACAAAAGAAAGAAAAATAACCCAGGATAGCTCCTCTTCTCGCACGGATGCTCTCCCAACGCCAAGGAGAAGGAGAGGACTGACTGGCAACCAGCCTCTTTCTGTCTTTCTTCCTCGCTCTTTTTCTCTGCAGCGTGGAGAGTTAAAGAGCGCGGTCAGAGTGAAAACGGGACCGTTGTTAATTACCATCCGTCCTTTTTTTTGGGTTTATTTTTGCGGCGGGGAAAGCGGCGAAAGCTCTTGACCCCTTTACTGACGCCGCCGTGGAGAAAAAGGAGGACGCGGGCAGCTTTCTCGTACGCTCCTGTCATTCCGCTTTCTCTCCCTCTGTTATTTCCTCTCGTTCATCCAGCCGCTTGTGAGGGAGGTCATGGATGGGTCCACGGGCCGCTCTTGAGGGACCTCGGCGTAGCGAGCGATGAAAGATCACAGCGCAGGCTACGTCAGAAAGACACTAGCCCCATCCCTCCGCCTCCCTCCTGACTTCTCATTTGCCGTATTTTTAACAGGTGCAGTACCGAGAGCTGAAAGTGGAGCCCAGTCACAGCCCAAACAAAAGAAAGAAAAATAACCCAGGATAGCTCCTCTTCTCGCACGGATGCTCTCCCAACGCCAAGGAGAAGGAGAGGACTGACTGGCAACCAGCCTCTTTCTGTCTTTCTTCCTCGCTCTTTTTCTCTGCAGCGTGGAGAGTTAAAGAGCGCGGTCAGAGTGAAAACGGGACCGTTGTTAATTACCATCCGTCCTTTTTTTTGGGTTTATTTTTGCGGCGGGGAAAGCGGCGAAAGCTCTTGACCCCTTTTAGAGTCAAACAGTCTGGGTTATTTGTCAGCGCTTGCCACTAGCCAGACAGCTCTAAAAGCCAAGGTGTCCTTCCACGGCAGCAAACTGAGCCGTTCTAACCACAAATAGCAGGATCAGCTGATAATAATACGGCCACCTGTGCCGACACACCTCGCCTCAACAGAAGGGAAAACGACGGTGGTTAAGTTGCAGTTTGCACCCTATAATTTGCACGTCACGGTCACTGCCGTATCTAAAGCTATCCGCAGCTGAGTCGACAGCTGAGCCTGTTACGGTCCGATTTATGGCTGTAACTAAAGTGCTTGTGGAAATGACTCAAAAAACGCCCAGTGCCAGTGAGGTTTGCGATATCTTTACATCATGTTCTTTCAATGGTATGAATGATGCATACTGGGATTGTTTATTGTAAACCTTTGTCGACCAGTAGTAGCCATGGCAGCGTCAGCATTGTCCTCATAGTGGGGATTAGGGAATTTACGTTTCATCCTTTGCTCCTAAAGCACCACCATGTGCCACTCCGCTAATTTTTGATCTCTAAAGGCCAAGTGCTGTTATATAAAGGAACCGGCCGGAATCTTTTGAAAAATCCCAAACTTGAAGGGTGAATGTCTGTGTGTGTTTTCATTGCTGTGGATTGGCTGCTTGACGAGAAGTCGATAGTGTTGTGACAGGCTGCTTTAGGGCCTTGGGGAGGGGGAGGGGGAGGGGGAAAAAGACGCGTGCTTAATTGTAT